CGGGCCAGACACCTGCCCTGGTCACCCTCCCTGCCGCCCCCCTGTCCCTGGGGGCAGACCCCCCCCCGGCTCCAGCCCTCTCGAGCATCCTCCATCCCTGCCCCTTCATCCTCTCCAGGGTTCCCCACCCACCCATCCCTGTCCCCCCCATGCTCTCGTGTTCTCCCCAGCCTTCCCTTTGCCCCTTCCCCAGGAGCACCCCCGGATTCATCCCCCATCCCTTAAAGCCACGAGCTGCTTTGCCCCCTCCCCAGTCCCACTCAAAAGTTGGCAGCGACCCGGGCACTGGCTTTGGTCTGGGAGTGGTGAAAGGCTCGTGGGGGGGGGAGAGCGATTCCTTCATTTCTATCGACCCCTTTTGTGTCTGGCCCTGGATTTTTAACCCTTGTTATTGAGTAATCCTTTAATCTCTTAATCCTTTCAAATAACCATATTTTTCTATAGGAAGGCAACAAAAATTAGATATTTTTTCAGTTTGCTGAGGGCCGAAGTGTGCATCGTGTGCCTGGATTTTTCGGCACGCTCCGTAGTCCTGAACAAACAGGAACATAATCTCTGTCTGCCTTGAGCTCAAATGGTTTCAGTGTGATAAATAATATGCTAAATAATTTATTATCTATTTTAAAAATAAAATTAAAGCAAACTACTCAGTCATTTCACTAGTTTTTATTCCATAATTTTCTCCCTCTTTTTTATATATATACGTGGTTTTTTTTTTAGGGGGGTGCTCTGAGCCTGATTGTTTTTACAAGGGCTCAGCTCAAATTTAGCAGGGATTTTGGATACAGGGGAGGTTTATTTTATCCATCCCCCATATCTCCTCTGCCTGTTAAACCCACCACATGCATACCAAGATACTGGACATTAATTTGTACATTCACAGGGTATTGTATTTTATATATTTTATATATATTTATATATAAAATATATTCATATATTTACTGAGTTATGTCAGACACAAGTACAGCCATTGGCCTTATGGAAATCAGATGTAATTTTATTCCAGCTGTCTATAAAATAAACGAAAAATTCTTTAAATTTAAAACCTCTAGAACTTTTTCATGTTATTTTTTTTTTTTAATCACCATCTGCTCCCCCCCAAAAAAGCCACTTCCCTGTTTTAAAGCTGAAAAAAAAAGAGGCTGAAATGAGCAGTTCCCTCGCCTCGTCCCAGCTCCAGAAGCCTCGAGGAATGTAAACTCGGCGGTAACTCCGCTCGCAGAGCACAGTTTGCATTTTCTGCCCAGCTCTGAGCGCGATACGGCGCAAAAATAAACCCTGGGAAGAATTTGCCAATTTTTAACCGCTTCCAAGGCCGCCGTGGTGCCCGCTGGCAGCTCCCTCTCTCCTGCCAGGGTTTTATTTTTCTCCAGTGATTCCTCGTCTCCCCTGGCCTGGCTGTTTTGCGATTTTGGATATTTGGGTTCAGGCTGTGAGATTGCCAGGCCGTGCCAGGCTGGCAGTGCCAGGGTGGGCGAAGAGGGAAAATGGGAGAGAAAGAGCAGGGCTGGGATTTTATTTTCCCTTCTGTGACAGGGAAGGGGTACAGGATGATAGGGAAGGGGTTATTTATTTCTTAATTATAAAGAAGTTATTTATTATTTATTATAAATAATTGTTTCTATTTATTTATAATAAATAAACAACTGTCGTGGTTATTTATTTTTGTAGTGCTGTTAAAAATATTTCCTTTCAAAGCTGTGGCTGAAGGGCCACTGGCCTTGGTTTTGAGACATCCCCGTGGGTGCTCAGTGGCCCAGAGTCACACCTTGTGTCCCCCCAAATTCATCCTGCAGTCTGTCCCCACAAAATGATCCCGTTTCTCCTCTGTCAGTGGGGATTCATCCTGCAGGAATCATCCTGGCCGAGGCTGGAAATAATTTCAATGCAGTGAGTGGCACCTGTCCCCTGGCACTGGCGGGGCCAGAGGCAGAGCAAAGGGCACCCCAAATCCTGACCCTGATCCGGGGGTCCCTCGGCTCTGGGGGTGCTGCGGGATTTGGGGTGAGCTGTGCTGCCCATGGAGCTGGAGACCAGACCCTGCAGCAACCATCCCCACTCCCACCTGCTCACTGCAGCCCCCTCAGCCTGGACCCCAATTCCTACTGTAACCCCGAGGCAGAAAAACACTAAAAATAAAAAAACCCTAATTTTTTTTTGTGTTTCCAGGCTGCCTGTAAATGGCATTTTGAGGATGGAGGTGGAATCCAAACCAAATTTAATTTTTCTGTGCAGGCCATCCCTGTTGCCTCAAATAAAACAAAAAGTGTGGGGTGGATTTGGGGGGCAGTTCTGTTTCTCCAAGTGGTTTTTTGTAAAGATTAAAGCCCAGAGGTGGAAGCTGAGTTACCCCGATTTCAGGGAGTGGCTGGATCAGGCCCTTTGTTTATTCCTTGGGTTTTTATCCCAGCCTGTTCAGGAGCTGACGACCCCTGGTCTATAAAACCAGTGCTTAGAACAAGTGGAAATTTGTGGGGCCCCCCCTCAAAGCTGGATTTTATTTCTAAAGGGCATTTCATGGCTGATTTGTGCTGCTAAGACACCTCGATGTCAACTTTTGGGCTCAGTCAAGGGGGTGCAGATACTCATGGAGCAGCATAGGGCTGGATGCCTCCCCCATTGGCACGGGAAAACATCCCCCAGCCTCATTAACCCTTTTTCAGGGCTCATTTTTAGCATTTTTGCAGGGCTTTTTTCCAAGGTCCCATTCTACTGTGTGCAACAGCACAGCCGAGCCACGTCCCTCTCTGGAAAGAGGGAGAGAAAGGGAAATAATCCATGTTGGGATAGTTTTGTTGCTGCCTTTCTTTGCTTTTAAAATAACTTTTAAGGAGAATATTCTGGTTTTGACCAGAATTTATTTACTTTATTCCTGCATATGGCTCTTGGCCTGGGTCCCAAACAGGCAGAGGTCTGGCCTGGCTCGATTCAAAGCCAAAATGTGCAATGAAAAGAGATTTTTTTTTCCCCCTTTTCTCTTTCTTTCTAAAGCAGGTTTTTAACTAGTGAAATTGTTGCTGACGAGGGGGGGATTGCAGTTTAAAAATTGCTAGCAGATTTCAGGGAATTATTCTGCAGGAATTTCAAGGGGTTTTAGGATTTTTCCTGTGGCTTTTTATTGTTTTTTTGGCTGCAAGTTAGATGTAAAAAAAAATAATATGAATCCCAAATTTTCCCCCCCACTTTGTATTTTTTCCATTGGCTTAACATCACCTTTTCCCCCACGGATTTGTTGGAAGCCAGCCCTCAAAGAGCTCGTGTAGGCCTTTCCCTGCTCTCACACAGCGTGGCACAGGGAACCGTGACCTCACTGGAGCAAATCTCCCTGAAAATGACCCTAAAACTTGGTTTTACATTGAAAAGGAGCTTTGGGGGTGTTGCCAAACAGCTTCAAACAGCAGTACAGGCCCACGGTGCTGCTGCCGTCCCTGTGCTGGGGTTTTGGGCCAGGACTTTTGCAGCCACGTGGATGGAGGCACCAGGAATTTTTGTAAACCCCAAAATTTCATAAATTAAAAAAAAAAACCCCTCCCAACAGTAACCAAACCCCGAATGCAACCAGGAAACATTTCCTCATTCGTTTGGTTTTTTTTGTTTTTTTGTCCACAAAAAGACATAAATCAAATCTGGCCACTCTCCCAGGGTTGGTTTGTCGTGTTGGTGCTGGGGAATTTGGGGAAATTTCTGGAGTGGGAGGAATGGGGAGGAATATGGCCCTGACTCTTTGTCTGGAGTGAGTGAATCCCAGTTTGGTTTTTGTCTCCTCCCTGCAGACACAGCTGGCAGAGGGGGGGTCCTGCCATTGTCCCCATGTCACGGCAGAGCCTCAGCCCCTGCAGTTCAGTTTTGGGAGCAGGAGCACCTCAGAGCCGTGACCCTGGTGACATCCTCAGCACAGGGATGTGGCTCTGCACCACCACACCGAGCCCAGCAGCGCCCCAGTGCCAGGGAGGGCCCCAAAATGTTTGTGTGCCAAGGGGAGCAAC